CATGTTTTAAACAGCTATATATATTATATAATATATTTAAGAAAACAAGTTATACTTTTCACTGTTAGTGAGAATAGCAGTTTTAAAATTTTTTACTGAACAGGCTATTTTCTAATCTGCTAAAATTTTGATGGCTAATATAAATGAAATTTGTTTGCAACCAGGTAATTTCTGTGAAATAATGCTGAAAGTGATTTGTCTTTCTTTGTGACACTTAGAAATCTAGAACTCTTATTTTGCTTCCTGCTACTAATTGTCAGCTCTGGATGGCTTAAGTATAGAGGGAAGCCAGAAAAGCCATCTGTTTGGAAGAATGAAAAAGCCTAGTTGTTTTACTCATTTCCTGGGCAAAATGAAGAGCTGAAAGGTTTTCAGTGAGAAAACTGCTTAGACTGCACTAAGCCAGATGTATATGGGGAATTCAAGAGGAATAAATGGAACAGATTTTTCTTAGTTCAGTATAAAATAGTTGTATAGCAAATATGAAGAAACCGCTTGCCCCTTTAAGCAGATAATCTGTAAATTTTCCTGCAAATTTTCCAAATCTCAGGTTTGCTTTTCCAAATGAATTTACAGGATGAACAATAGGATAATCTATCAATCAAGGAAAAAAAAAATGTTAGCAGTATAATTATAAATAAATGTCTATAATACTAACTTGAAAGAAATTTCTTGGCTTTGGTCCTTTTAGGAAAACCTAGGACATCTTGTATTAGAAAAAGACAATCACTATATTGAGAAGCAGGATTCTTAGATAATGCAATAGCACAGCACATCAAATTACACCACATTTCATAAGAAAAATTCAGGTCTAGATAGGCATATTTAACTTTTACTCCACAAATGAAAACTGCTTCATCCACATAATATATTTTATAGCCAAGCATATTAACACCTTATGCTGATATGCCACTGTCAGTGAGACATACCTCTAACTCAACAGATAAATGGAATAACCCTGCACTGGGCCTCACTTTACCAAGATACAGGACCATACAAATTTACAAAAGGCTCTAAATATAAATTTTCAGATGTCACTGAGTGTTGCACTCTGCTGGAATGAATTATCATCTAGCCTCCAGAATAGGAATAAAGCACTATTACTTGTTAGCTCAAATCTTCTGACATCTCTCTCTACTTGGATAACTTCATCAGAAGTTAATTCCTACCAGCATAGCTCTGTCAACAGAACACTAAGCATTCTCACACGACTATGTGATTTCCAAGCAAAGCTAAACAGACTTTCACATCAAATATGATATCATCAAGGAGAAGGAACAGTTTAATTAAATAAAAAAATCCTAAATAAATTAGCTTCCATTGAGTCAGCTGCACACAGTAGGTTTGCAAATCACAGTACAATATCTAGACAGAGTTGTAAAATCCAAATGCAAGACCTCTTTACTAGTGTCAGGGACATATAGCAACAATGGATGTGGCCATTCTCCCTTAAATTCAGATTTGGCAGGTTTATAGTGTCTTGCCACAGAGCTTACCCCACAGCAGTTTTTGTCAAACAGGTATTAGAAGATACCTTAAAAACATATTTTTTCTGCATTCAGGCAGCTCAACAGCTGACAATGACAGCATTCAAGTAAAATATGCAGAGTTATTAAAATGGTTCCGAGTTTGTCTGATATTAATAAAAATAGCTATTGCCCTTTTTCATCTTAATCTTGATACAGCTTTTGAACAGTGCATGAAGACTTTAACTTCCCTAGCAACCTTTCACGCCATTACTGATGGGAAGACTGACACCCATCACAGCAGTCAATTGAGTGTCATTTCTTTATTTGAAAAGAAAAAAACACCTCTATCAGATGTACCTAATCAAGATCACTACTCCAACATAGAACCAAAAATAATTACTGTAGTGCCTCCAGCCACAGTTCAGTTAAGAGACTGGAGAAATAGATTATGTGCATTTATATCTATCTCTATATATATCTATCCCTAGACACTGGACTAATTTAGATTATACTTGCAGAAACAGCTTTCTGGACTACTCAAGCTAAATAATGAATTTGCATCACAGAACTGTCTTCAGAACTTCCTTCATTTCCTCATGTTCCAGCCACACAAAAGGAAGAAACCGGCCTTTAAGTCAGTAAAAGTATAACATGGGATAATTTTACAGCTAACAAGCAGGTCATTTGTATTTGTGTTATTAAACAGAGAGACTACTTAGCTCTCACCTCTGAAGCATACTATGAAAGTGCATTATTTTACTACTGAGTAATTCAATAGCTCTTCTGCTAATCTTTTTCCCTCCAGTTGTACTGTTCAGCTACATCACACAGTATCTGAAGCACTCTCCTCAATGGTGGGGGTTTAGATGAACAATTAGCTATACTACTAGCAAAAAAAAAAATCGTAAGTTTAGAGAAATCAACCTTTGAACTGGTAAGTTCCCCACACCACCCACAGTTTTCTCCAGATGAGAGGATTAAAGTTACCAGACTGAACAGCAGGCTTTTAACAGCTCAAATCTAGATTCCCAGGCCTAAAACAAGGGCTCCAATGGATTTTTTTCCTTCTTGAAATGACAGCTTCCCTGGCACCCAAACACATTGCTGTGTTTCCTCAACTAGAAACAAATGAACAAAGAATCCAAATAGTCTGGTGAAAGGCTTATGGAAAAAAAATTATTTCCACAGTTCCTTCTTGAGATGCATTCTTTCTTTGCTACGAATCAGACAACTCTTCACAGTACAGGCTTCTCCTTTACCTACTCTCTAAATTGTTGCCTTCCCTCCAGCATACACAAGCCATCCATCTGGAGTTCTCCCACACTCTTACTTAAAAAGGCTACTTCCATTTCTGTGGCATGAAATCTCTTGTAGAGCTCTCAAAGGGCTAAAAGTAAGACAGTCATCCCTTTGGAACACAAACACATCTATTTCATCTCTGCAAACTTGGTTTGGTTTTTTTTTTTTTTTTTTAAAGCATGACAAACAGTTGTAGTGTGAAGATGCCTTTTGCTGCAGTGACAGAGGCATTTCACAAACTCTGCTAGTTCAAAGCATCTCATTCCTGGTCTGCGTGCATCACAGTTTTAAGATTATGTTTGACTATGGATGCCCAGGTTTTTAATCGGCTACCTAAGCCCAGCACAGGTCACCATTGCTAAAGCTGAGGCAAGTATCCCTATTCATCTCGGAGAAACAATTCATTTTTATCCAGCAGGTATTTCCATAGTGGAACTCTTGCATCTTCAGCATTCTTTTAAGCAACGGAACAACTTCATTTTCAACATCAAGTCTTGTTGCTCTTCTCTGAAATAACCTCTCCTCAACTTCTATTTTATCATCACATAGCATTCAAAATTGGGAACAGTACAGATGAGATCTCGCAACAAGCACAGCACCAAGTAGAGCAGAATAATTACCTCCTGTGTCCCACATCTGATGCTTTTGTTACTATTACCCAGAACAGGTTTTGTTTTGGTATCCCTGGATTTTAACTCTTAGTCTGACCTGCTATAATACCCAGAACACTTAGCACAGAACTGCTTCATTCCCCTGACAAGCCGATGTCCCTAACACTCAATGCATTCTTCTCTTGCAAATTTTACAGGGGCAGACTGTTCCATCATCCAGATTATTAATGATAATACTGAATAAACTGGTAAATCTGATCACCATACAGTGCTGTAACCAAGAAAATATTTCCCAAGTTTCCAACTGAGAATATAATGTAGGAAAAATTACTCCTAAAGTATGCAGACCTATTTGTTGTTATTTAGCTTTAGTATGTTAGAGAACCTTACAAATGGCTTAAATGAGATAAAATCTTTGGGGAAAAAATCCACAACGAAACAACCCCCCAAAAGAACCCCAGTATGAATCCAGCTTACTTTAGTCACCCTAATATGAAAAAAAAAAGACAAACAATGGAGTTTGGAAGTTAGAACAGCCTTCCACAGGCCAAGGTCAGCATGTTACTATTGACTATAAGAAAATTAACTTTATCAGTAAGACAAGTCTGTAGTAGTAACTAATGTATTTACCTTACATACAGAGATAACTTGATATTAACTTCAAGTTGCCTTATCTACTAATATAAAATTGTCCAAATGCATTGTCAAATACTTAAAGTCCCTGCTCAGTGTTTCCTTACATTAACAGCATTACACATGCAAGGCTTCTCAGCTGCTGATGTCCCATAACCTCCCCATGAATTTAAAGAACACTTACATAAAAGTTCAGAAACTTAACAGGCTGGCCAGAGTTACCCGCTATACAGTTTAAAATTGAAAAATGTTTTCCGTATGTACCAGCCACATAATTATTAGCTTCATACTGCTGTCCATTTACCTCTCTTACTCGCACTGCTGTGCTTTTAGCTCTAGTTCTTCTCAGGTAGGCTGAGGAAAATACTGGGATTTACATTTAGACAGAACTGACTCCTCCCACCCAGCACATTAGCAAGTACTTATGGGTGGAGGACACTTTTTCTAGGGCTCTTATAGGTGGCTTTTTAACCAGAATGGTTTTTAAGTGCTTTACAGAGTTCAAAACCAGTTTAATTTTATGCTAGATATAAAATTACCCAGAAGAATGTTATGTCAGCATTTTCTTACTTTGGAGCTAGTACTGTCAGCACCATGGCCTAAACATAAAGTGGTCAAGAAATACAGTTATATGGGTGTGAGAGCAGTACCACAGCATTACCTCAGAAGTTTTTGTACTGATGTAATAAATGAAAAGCGTTTAAGAAAGTTCCCCCCCACCTTCCACAGTTTTTTTTTGTTTGTTTGTTGTTTTTTTTTTAAATGATCCAGGCTTGAATAGGGCTGCTTATTTGGTAACAGTATCAGGCAAAAACAATAGCAAGTGCCATTCTGCATTCCAATATGAATCATTCAGTGAAGTTTTGCAATATATACATTTTATCCAGCTTCTGACATTATAGGTCATCATGCCAATGAAAATTTTTAACAATATAATAAAATCCTTCAAATGGAACTGTTTATGAATGTAATTCAAGAGACCAGACAATTTAATTTCTGAAATTTATATCACTCATGTCCATAATCATTTTACATTTCACACTTCATGCTCTCAAACATTACCCTAGAGAAGACTAAATCTTTTTGTCACATATACTATTAAAGACACTAGCCAGGTTTATAGAGTTACAGAAGACTATAATAAGATGTAAAATTTAGTAGGTAATAAGTTATGACATTTGCTGACTAAAACAATATTCAATCTACACTAATGTTTGATCCATTCAAATACAGTAAGTATTTGGATGTTATATACTACCCATTTCATATGCTTACAGTGCAAAATAAGTGAGATTTTTTTCCTGAGCATTTAGGAAACGAAAATCCTTTTTCTTTATCGATTGCAATCCATTTAAAATATACTCCCCATATGCCTAGCCTTGTCAAGGCTGTACAGTGAAGACAAGCAAAAGTTTGTAGATATCAGAAGCCCAATTCAGAATCGGAAGGGTTATCGAACATCTCTAAAATTTGTCCCCATTTTTCAAGTCTAAGGATATAACAGGATTTTGACCAAATATCCCAAAAACTTCAGAAATTACTTTTTTTTTTTTTTTTTCATTGACCAAACACTCAAAATGTACAAACCACATGCCTTCCAGAACAGAGAAACAGCCTCTATTTAAACAAATTGTAATACATATTTCAACTTACTATTCTGTAGTTAATGTAATGCCCAGTGAGTTGTGCCTCCAACAGACATAAGAGAATAAAATTTTTAGGAATGTGTTTTGGGCATTTTGTAAGGAAAAGTGGATTCCTTACAAGTTCCTCTTTTTCTCAATAGCTACAGACCATGAGTTTCTAATTCAATCTTCTCCTCTGTTTGCAAGATATCAGGTTCTACTGGAGGAACAGGTGGTCTGAGTATAATCTCTGGACCTCCACCATAGATTGACTGAAGAAAATTCCATGTTCCTTCAGATATTTGTCCAGAATCTGCACCTGAAAACATTTTTAAAATTTTAATTACTATTTAGAATAATTCTTTCATGATTTCTTTGAAGTCCATAACAAAGACAAAAAGAAGAATATAGATTCAAATTTAAAACTCTAAGCTGAAGTTGTACTTTATCTAGCACCAACTGCCAAACCCAATGATATACTCTGTTACTTTTATACTTCTAGATCCTTACAACTACCTGCTTTAAATTATCCAGCAGTTAACAAACATCAAGCATAAAACACATGAAGCTTCTGTGATAAACACCTTATCTGATATTTATGAATCCAGCTGACAACTAGTAGCTTTTGGTACACAGGAAACAATGATTCATATTAATATAAGAACATGCAGTCCTATCAAATACAAGTTCAAGGACTCAAGATTCTTGTTTCACCAAAGAAATTAATATTGATCGGAAAGAATAAGAGAACCACAGTGAAAGTCTCAGAATGCCAGAGACACACCACTATTAAGACATTAACAGCCCCGCTAATGCTCCTTGTATATAGCACTGATGGGTCAGCCTGACTTTTCAGTTCACATTCTTTGCTTATGGTTCCATTCCTTTGGCTAGATGTCCTTCTCGTGTCTCAAGTCCACATCCAACAATCATTTCTGATTTTCTGTAACCTTTTATAGTGGCAAAGGATCCTGTCTGATACAGATGAAGTGACTTCTTTACTAGATACTATTCTTCTCACACTACTGCCTATGCTTTTCTGTCCTCACCACCTGCTTCAATAGGCCTACTACTGTACTTGATGTATAAAAATTTTCCGAATAGGAAGGATACAAAGAGCTGCACATTTGTTTAGCTACGCTAATTCAATCATGCAAAGCTTCATCTGGAAGTCATGAAACACATCCCAGTGTTTCCCACATGCCAGTACTAATGACATTATGCCTCAGTTTTACTCATTTAGGTTCAGGTTCTCAAAATAACATCTCCATCTCTGTAGGCCCAGGACTAGATGCTTATCCAGATTCCAGCTCTTCTAACAGTAAGGTTTAATTGAACAGGCACAGTGAACTAGGCACTGGGATCAGGACACTGGATCACAGAAATATGTAATACTCTATTTAGTGGTGCTCTCACCTCTTCTCTCATGACTTAAAAGACAAATTTTCTACAGCCTATTTGTCTTCATTTTTATCCAAGTTCTAATTTGAATCAATATAGCTGAAGGTAAGTCAACAAGTGGCTAATTTGCTATCGATTATTGATTGTAAATTTTTTTTTTTTCTGGCTACACGTCAGTCAGATGTTTTATACCTTGTATTTAAATTCTACATTAGGACCCAAATCATTAAAAGGTACTGCAAAACTCACGAGTGCAAGAATTCATTCTTTTTAAACACACTCTTGATATTTTACAATTGGTGAGGTTTATGCAGGGCCTAGTGGCCTCCAGGGAACTGCCACTGGTAGGTCCACTGTATGCTGAGGCATTAAGTTAAACTGTGAAAAAAACCAGTTAAATAATTCTTAATCTTAATGCTGCTTTTTTTTTTTTTTTTTTTTTTAACTGAGCTACAATTAATTTATTTATTCATAGGAATTCTAAAGTCTTCATAAAGCAGGCCATATTAAAATTTTTTTCTCCATACCTACAAATTTCAAATAAATGGTATTACGCATCTGACTGAAGAATAACAAAGAAATATTTATCTTTGCATGCTAGAGAAGTTTTGCAATGTACAGTGGCAAATAACTAGCAGAAAAAACATAGAATCATAGAATGGTTTGGGTTGGAAGGGACCTTAAAGATCACCTAGCTCCAACCCCCTGCCATGGGCAGGGACACCTTCCGCTAGCCCAGGTTGCCCAAAGCCCCGTCCAACATGGCCTTGAACACTGCCAGGGAGGGGGCAGCCACAGCTTCTCTGGGCAACCTCATCCAGTGTCTCACCACCCTCACAGTAAAGAATTTCTTCCTTATATCTAATCTAAATCTGCCTTCTTGCAGTTTAAAATTGTTACCCCTCATCCTATCCCTGATAAAGTGTCCCTCCTCATCTTCCCTGTAGCCCCCTTAGGTACTAGAAGGCCACTATAAGCTCTCCCCGGAGCCTTCTCCAGGCTGAACAACCCCAACTCTCTCAGCCTGTCCTCTCAGGGGAGGTGCTCCAGCCCCCTGATCATCTTCGCGGCCTCCTCTGGACCCACTTGAGCAGGTCCATGTCCTTCTTGTGTTGGGAGCCCCAAAGCTGGACACAGCACTGCAGGTGGGGTCTCATGAGAGCAGAGTAGAGAGGGAGAATCCCCTCCCTCGACCTGCTGGTCACACTTCTCTTGATGCAGCCCAGGATGAGGTTGGCTCTCTGGGCTGTGAGCACACATTGCTGGCTCACACTCAGTTTTCCATCCACTAATATCCCCAAGTCCTTCTCCTCAGGGCTGCTCTCAATCCACTCATTATCCAGCCTGTATTTGTGCTTGGGATCACCTCAGCCCATGTTCAGGACCTTGCACTTGGACTTGTTGAACTTCATGATGTTCACATAGGCCAGCCTGTCCAGGTCCCTCTGGATGGCATCCCTGCTCTCCAGCATGTCAACCGCACCACACAGCTTGGTGGTGTCAACAAACTCGCTGAGGGCGCACTCAGTCCCACTGTCCACGTCACTCACAAAGATGTTAAACAATGCCCGTCTCAATACCAACCCCAAGGAATGCCACTGAGCAACAGCATTTACTAACTGTGGTTTGTTTCCCTCTGAGAAGTAACTCTCAATTCAAATTAAATTTAAAGATTCAAATAACTGCACACAGATACATGGCAGTCTAAAAGCCAATCATCTCCCAATTTACATTAAGGAACCCTAAATCAAACCTAGCAATTCAAAGGAAAAGCATACTTTCACCATTTTAAAGTTACTCTGCACCTCATTCTACACTCTCATCTGCACTTGGATTAGTTTATTAGAGATAGTAAATCTTTATTTGAAGAATAAACTAGTCCCCCCACAAGGGGCACAACACAGACTCACCAGGAATTGTCACTTTACAGTAGCAGTTAAAAAAAATAATTCAGAATAATTTTTTGAAACTTCAACAAATAGATCATAAGGAGCCCAAAATTGCAGCAATATTGGACACCTACCTTGTCTTAGCACAGTATTTCCACATTTTGTTACTGCAATCTTAGCGTTATCAATAGGACCAGGAGGATCTAGTGTGACAGAGAGATGATTAAAATCAGGAGAGCTGAAAACAAACAACAGGTTGGAAGCTCTATTTTCAAATGGAAGCAGAAATAGCTCATTTGTTTACTGCTTGTTCTTGTACTGCTTAACAGTATGTTCTAAGTTGTTAAAAGCTAATCAGAATTTCAATTAAGAGCAAGGTTTTCAAAGCATTCATGATTACAGTAAGTCTTCAAGCAACTTAAAACACAAATTAATCCTAATTTTTATCACTAGCAAAGTGGTCCTGGAGAAGACTCAGACAAGACTGTAGAACATTTTATGAGTGTTTTCATTTCAAAACTTTAGAGGCACGTAAAAGCAGGCTAAAGTGATATTATTATAGTTGTTACTCAGTCCTCTATGAGTTCAGGTTGTGACAGTGAGGTCACCTTTACTCCAGAAGCTGTAGCATTACTGATCAATTTGCACAGCAAAATCCATCCCCCTCTTGTACTCTGATCCAATTTTCCTGCTGCTGCTAACAGCAGAATCCCTGCGAACAAGCAACATTCTTTCCACAACTATCTCATTCATTATACATTCTTGTGAATTATTTGACTATGGTCTAATTTTGTTTCTGGATAAATTTTTAACTTCTAAAACCTATTTTAGATGCTTGTTTTAAGAGCTTTTGCCACCTTCTCTATCTCTTCTTCCTACAGTCTTCTACCAAAGCAGAAACAATTTACTTAAAACAGTATACATGAGGAGAAAAAGGAAAAAATTGCCCATATTTTGAAATAGGAGCGCAACTTACCACTGTCTTTACCCTTTACAAATCCTTCCCATTCTCTGAACCACTGCATACTGATGCAGTAAAATGTTGATGGAGATCCTTTTTCTCGGAATGCTCTATTAAGCTGAAAGGAAAAAGAATCCATGTTTTTCTGTGTTTTTTACTTTAAACTATTGGATTCTTTTAAGCACTGTATAATATTACAGCATAATATTAAACTGCTACAGAACACTGTAAAGAACTACTGGCCATCAGAACAGTAAACACCTGGTGAATTCCTAAGGTGCGATTCTGATGTAGTTGAAGTCTTCGTATTAAAAGATGATTTATTCTTTGAGATTTTTTTTTTCTTCCCCTGAAAACAGCAACAAGTTCTTCTTAAGTATAATACAAGTGCTTACCTACCAAACGCTACTGGCTAATTACTATGAAGGCTGAATTTTCAAGTAGCAAAAGAAAGCAGAAAACTTATTTTTGTAAAATAAAATAAAACAAAACTGTTTTGAAATATTTGCGCCATAATTTTATGGAATGTTCTTTGTGTGATGAACTGTCTATTTTTGTTTTCCCCATAATATTTTGAACAGATGCCAATATGATCCCAAGCAAGGGATGGTGAACTAATGCAATGGGACTTTTCATGACTTTTGTTTGCATCAGTTTAAAAAAAAATTAAATATTTTTTGTTTCTACTATTTTAGAATTAAACAAAAAAAAATTAAATCCTGTTTTTTCTGAGTTTCTGTTGCAAGACAATGTGAATGACTGTATAAATTACAAAAGAGAATTTCAGTTGCATTTAGCTAAATTTGTTTCTATCAAATTTTTTTTTTTTTTTAATTCAGATTTTAGGTAGTTTGACATTTTATTCTTTTTCAGAGGCTACAGATGTTTTCATAATGTTATTAAGAAATATGCAAAAAGTCACTTAAGCCTTTAAAACCATTATATATCTTAGCTCTGTAATAATGTAGCTATATTTCCCCCTTGAAGCCATGAACCTAAAGCATCAACACAATTTCTTAAAAGTTTCAGATATAATAGGTTTTGCAATCATTCCCTAAAGCAATCTTTACAGATTTCTGTCTGCTAACTAGTAACAATACTTGCACAACAGTGCACATATAATCATTGTTTATACTGGAAAGATGCTGATAGCTAAAGTAACTGAAGTTGACTCAATGTTGTTAATAATAATTACTGTTCAGTGGTAACCCAGACTAAAGAAAAAAAAAATTACTAAGAAGTTCAAATCCAGTTAAGACATGGAAAAGCTGACACCACCTCTGAAGTGTGATTAAAGCACAGACAGAACTAAAAGAACAGCTGCAATTCTGTTTTACTCCCTTCTCATGAATTAAGATTGCAGAAACGGGACTCCAATAGTTCTGCATTTATTTTCACTGAAAACTTCAGAACAGATTTCTGGTTTAAGAACTACAAAGTCATTACTACTAGTTATTTTACCACTCATGTGCACAATTTCTAATTCATGGCAAATAGGGTAGCTGCTTGATATTAGTATTATAGAACTATTACAATACTAAGGTATTTACTTTACATGGAATTATTTGTTTATTTATGTTTCTAATGTTATTTTTAAAATAAGAACTAGAGATAAAGACGACAATTAAATTTTTGACGGCATAGTATTATTGCACTTAAATCTTATTAATTGCACAGATCACTGGCAGTGGATAAAGAACAACTGCCCATGTGGCTGCACTCTTTTATGGTACAGAAACTTCTACAGTTTCCATACTATAAAAAAGCCACTTAAGAAACATATTACATATTTTCTTTAAGTACATTTCCATATAAAGAGTTATCTGGGATATCACAAGTCTATTACTGTTGCCTACAGGAAAGAAGGGATTCTATATAGGTATACAGATATTTAATAAAGTCCATTTGTTACAGGAATCACCTATGCACTTCTGGTAATCCCTTGGGTCAACTCATGAGTATCAGGTGATGTCAAAAAGCAGAATGAATAAGTGTTTACTTTTTTACCCGAATAAACATTTCCAATTCGTTTTTCCTTCTTTTTTCAATTCTTTCAGACTCTATTTGGCAGGTGTGACAAACATACAAATGGTTAACAGCTGGTCCTCCTCCATACCTGCAGTAAAAGTAAAAAAAACATTAACCTTTTGGAAAATACTATGTAAAAAGATCATGCACCTGTAGGCATCACAAGTGTCACCTTCTCATAATATGTAACAGAAGTCGAATACATGTGTGGTGGTGCAATTCTTATCCCTCCCTGCCCCTCCTTGTTGGGCTGCTTGGTGCTAGGTGTGATTCCATCCACATCCCCCCGAGCCATACACCATTCTGTGGAGATAAGGACTTGACAACGTTGACGAGCCTGGCTCCTGCCCCCCTCTGATTGCTCAGAAAAGGTTGTAATGGCCCATCATCTCCTGATGGCCTGGCACACCTGTGCCTGGGATGTGCTCAGATGGAACAATAACAGGGTTGCATGTTCATAGGATTCTTGTGCAACTGCCGGAAGGCACCAGATAGTGTTTGACAAGAGTCAATTATCTTGGACCCTATAAACTGCGACCACCAGAGAGACCCTTTGAGCTCCTCTGGATCGCAGCTGGCCTGTGACCGGCATCTCCCCTGAGCTGGGAGCCTCTGAGGTACCAAAACCCTTAAGGTGTCGTCTGCTCCAGACGGAAGGCCAGGGCCAAGTCCACCCTCTTGAGTCTCAGTTATCACCCGTTGAGGAATGCCAAGGCATTGGGAGTATTTGCTCTAAACTCGAGAGGGAAATTTTCTTTGAGCTAGCTTCTATTTCACCCGTTCTTTCCCTGTTTATTGGAGTGTGTGTGGGTACGTACTCTTACCCTTATTCCTCTGTGTGTTTGTCCCTTTTATGTTCATTTTACTGAAACTAAACACCTTTGTTTCTGTATATATAGGTCCGGTTTGTGTATACGCATGTATATATGTATAAATTAAGGTACCGTTAAGTTAGAGTGAATCGTGTCATTTTAGAATCTGTGAATATGTCGCTTCTCTTTCTGAATTATTTTGTACTGATAAATTGTTGTTAGTTATTAATAAATCTAGATTATTTTTACTGACTCACTACCGTGTCAATACTTTCATCTGCAACATGCCAGTCACACAGATCCACAAACGCCATAATTTATTTTCCTAGTAATATTTTGTACTCCATCCTAAAGACATAATCATTTTCCAAGTTCTGCCTGCCTACAGCCAGCATAAATGATCTCAAACTCTGCTGTATCACATACTTTAAAAGGTGTTACTATGGGAAGAACATGTCAGTGAGCAAATATTCTGAAATTAAAGTCCTCTAAGAAGCAGCTTATGGAAATGTTCCAGACATTTCTACCTTAAACATGTTCCTCCATTCCACTGCAGACTCATCAGCTTGCTACTTCCCTGACGCCAGCCTCTAAACTTGTTTATTGTTTTGTTCTTAAAAAGTTGTTCTCCATGACCCTCCTCTCCATATCTTCCTTGTGTGAAACTACATAGATGAAGTATTCAGGGGCACTGTTACTGAGAAGCACAGAAGATACCCCTCTCTGTGTATGTGTATGTGCATGTATCATTACGAATATGGGCAGCATTTGCTAGCCTGGAAGCTGGAAGCCTGACAAAATGTTCTTGAATAACTAGCAGCCTTAAGAGATGCATTTACTACAACAGAAAGGTTAAAATTAAAATATGCACTGAGATAAGGATATTCCAGGTTCTACTTTATAGCTGAATAATTATTTTTGTCAGAGCTGTGTTCTCATCCAATTTTCTCTTCTAAAACTTCAGATTTATTCCAAGAATGTTACATTAAATGACATAAAAGAGAGCTCTTAAGTATAGCAACATGAATTACAAGTTCAAAATATGCACTCTTAACCAAGAGTGAAAAATAACTTTGTTTACTTAGTGAATAAAACTTTGAAATCTGCCATGGAAGGCATTGCTGCTTTTTCCCCTTTTAGACTGGTATGTTTGTCAGTCCATAAAAATAATTTGGGGTACAATTTTTCTTCCTCCAACACAGAAGTGTTGTGTTTTAACTGAAAATTAAAGCATTATTTCAGTACAACAGCACTCATCCATAAAAGTTTTTCTGTATATACTCAATCATCCCAACATAACAAAGACATGTGTTTTTAAATGGTCACCCACCACTTAAATTGCACCTCTGAAGATCAGTTCATGAGTTTTTAACTGAAATGAGTCAAGTATGGATCTTCTTGAAGCAACTCTGACCTCGAAGTATTTGCAATTGAATAGGAGTAGTGGCACATGAGCAGCAAAGTATGTTTGGGGCATGGATGGTCAATTGGCATTCTAGATGAGTATCTCCTTTTCCTTAATACTATTCTCAGTAAAAGTCAATTTCCACCATAATTGGCTTCTTCACCCTAAATTCTCACCCACTGCAGCCATGGTATTCTCACATAATTCTGAGATAACAGCAAGACAAAAAGCAAAACATGGTTGCCTCAGAGCTACTCTGTGCTGAAGGGTGCGTGCACCAGCCAGGAAGCCAGACAGAACAGACACATGTTTAGGAATAACAATTTATGCCTCCTTTCTACCTAGCAGATTACTCTCAAAATCTGGAGGACCTTATAATCTCTGGCACTCTATCTTTCTATTAAACGATTGAAGCTTAACATCTTGTTTAAAAGGTTTACAGAGAAAGGAAATTAATGAGAAGCTTAAAAGCATTTTCCTTCAGAGTTAACAAATATTTCTGCCTACAGAAAATGGGTAATGCCTTTACTGGTTGAAAGAAAAATTCGATACATCTATGAAAGTGGAAATAGGCTGGAAACAGTGTTGTTCCTATTTTTCACTTGTGTCCACTGAAACCTTAAAACATAGCTATAGTGCTTAGATGGCAGGAAATTAACAGCAAAAAATACTTAATGCAAGTGCAATACAGCGTTCTTAAGGTGATCAGCAAAGCTCTTCTGCAGCTTTTTGTTACTTTAAAAGGAGACCCATCTTGTAAGAATCCCTCCTTTATAAGCAAGCACTTAAAGCTGAACTACCTTAAGAAGTGTGGAGTAGTTCTAGGGAAAGCTTAGATGCAAGTTATTTTGAAGCAGTACTGGCAACTGAGGCTATGGATTCAAAGCCAACATAAAACAAAAGCTCTCTCCAGCCAACAAGAGAACAGGAAGCTGATACAGAGAACTCTTTCAAAATACCTCTTGCAAAGCATACTTTTGTGGACCTACTTTGTGTCATTTTGTACATACCATACATGTTTATTGATTTAATAGTATTATCAAGTATTATCCCAGTAACACATTACTTTATGTAGTCTTTTAGCATTACTTTGCACAACTAAATTATATAAATTAGCCATTTGCAATTTTTTCCACTTTGTTTTGTGCCTAGAGTATATATAATTTTTTCTGAGCCACTAATTCTGAAGTCTGGTCTGGTGTTGCTGCTTGGCACGGATTTGGTCTCAAACTGTATCAAGTGGATTTTTTCCAGTTACAGTACAAAACTTACCTGCTATACAGATTATCCCATATATTTTGAGGTAGCATTACAACTAGGTCCTCTATGAAGTTAGCTTTGTGTGGAGGAACACCTGCAGAAGCAACAAAAACAAACAAAACCAACAAAAAAAAGAGACTTGAAGGTTTCTGGGGGGGAGACTATGTTAGTGGTCTCTAACTTTCTTTCAATCTTTCAATGAATTCAGAGAAATCATGTGAAACAAGTCTGACCATAGTATAATCTATTACTGTATTTAAAGAGACCACTCTAATTTTAGTCTTTTATGAGGCTGAACAGTTTATAAATAGCAGAAGCAAGCTACATGAAAGATGAAAATCAAAGGGCTAGAATACTTTAGATACTGATTGTGAAATGCTTCTTAAGGTATACGATTAAAATGTTAAATATTTTGTTTATGCATGTAAACACATTAACAAACTGTCTAATCAAAATCTACTTATTTGCTGTAGACCTTTTTGAATTACTTCAAACAACATGAATGCTTGAAAGTAGTGAAATTTTGAGGGAGCCAGAAATAGAGGGGCTTGCACAATAAGAAGCACTGAGTTGAAGCACACAGTAAGCACTAACAAGCTATGCAAGAATTCTTTTGAATAGGGAAAATCTAGTAGTTTGGGCTCTCATACCGGAGTCATCTCTGTAACCCTACAAAAGGAAAGCCACAGCCACATATACACGTTCTGCAAAGTGCTACAGGGGCACAATATTCCTATGTTGAAAGTTTAGTTCAGCAACAGGGGCAGCACCTCTAACTGCTAATCTAATATAGATGTATTTTTTATTAGAAAGTAGGTATAACACCACCACACAGTAATGATTTTTTGGAATGTTAGCACTCAAATATGGGTATTGCCCCAAATATGTTTTGCTTAATGTAATTCTCTCATTATTATTAACATTTATCACAAAGTAAAATTTTTTACGCTCCTATACAAAATATACAGAATTACTACTCTGTTTTCACACTGTTATGCACTAGACACTCTGCATCAGACCAATTTCTTGTTCTGCAGCTTTCAAACCTTCTTGTTGTTTATAGCACATAGCTAAGAAAAAGATTTAGATTGACAGACCAAAGTATTAAGGATGATGATAAAGTGACAGGATTTTTAAAAATGGGAATATACATGTTTAGGAAGCAACTGATAAGCTAAACTGTTTCTCTTCAAGAATCAAAAAAACTTATAAACAAAATTAAGTGTTCAGACATAAGAAAAAAAGAACTTCACACAGTATCATTTCCAACCAGTCAGCTACTAAAATGAGAGAAATAATTTACCTAGAAGTTATAGTTCTAATTTACCTAAGAAGCTATAGAAGTTAGAATATGAACTTACTATATTCAGATTCCTTTAATTAAAACAAGTGTACATCCCTGAATAGCTACAAGTTAACAGACAAATTCTTTATAAATGATACTCAGTTAGTGTCTCACCTCCATGCACACAGAGAAAGTCATTATTTGAAATTGGTCCTGGCTCTGCAAAAGTCTTGAATTTATTTAACCACTGTCTGGAAACATAGAACTGCAGAAGGCTTGGTTCCATCATATTCAGTAGACCTGATATCCTCCGTCTTTCTCTCTGTGCTTCTTCACTGCTCTTTCTATTACACAAATAGAAATCGTTAAATAAATATACACACCTTTGTGTACAGCACAGGTAAATTCACTTTGTGAAAACGGTACTTTCAAGTAAATTACCTGGGCCGTATCTATGGCACGAAGTAGTTGACTTAGCATATTAAAAAGATTTATACCTTTTATGCACAGCCAAAGCCACCATCTAACATGTGGCAGGAACCTAGACTGTCACGTTACAGAGCCATGTGTTACAGGAGTCAGGACAGAGTGGGAAGGGTGGCAAAAAGACCTTGCTCTGTTAAACCTATCCTTGTCCTTAGTTGTGACAAGCCATGGCACAGGTAGTATCATACTGACAAGAAAACTTTTGCCTGCTTAGTTCAACAACTCAGAGACTCCTGAGTTCCCATTCAACCTACCAGCCTGAGAAAGCAAACAGCTGGACTGCAACAGAGACAGCAGACTATACTGCAGAGGTGATTACTACCACAGGAGATAAGGCTCTGCCCATCTGCCCATTTCCTCTAAGCATCATTTGAGCTTTGCAAGCTGTACTCCTGGGGCAGATGTTCCTTATGTACCTTCAGTAGTAAGGTTGAACAGTAAACAGATGGGGTAATTCCCCTATTTTTCCCGCATCCCCTTAACTTTTCTTATTGAGGCTGTTGCTGCTGTCCAACTGGAAATATCTCTGCTCTCCTGTTTTTAGATTGAATAGAATCTCTCTTCTCCAAAAGCAGGTTTGAACCATTCATTTCGTTCTCCAGAATTCTGACCTGAAACTTGACTCAGCATCACACAAAAGCTGAGCCACCTCAGTTCATTTACAGAGTGGAAGTTGACTCAACTGACAGAAAAGCTTCAGGTAGACCTAACGGCTTTAGCAACATGGTTATTTATAGAGTAGCAAAATAAGACTAAAAGAATAGGGAAAAAAAAATCAAACACTATGAACCCAATTAAAATACATTACCTGTTTAAATTTAGATCAAAATTATTTAACAAAAACCTTTAAAGTCTGCAAATGAAATTAAGGAGATTGCAGAGAGCTGGGGATGAGTCTCTTTAACCAAGGAACAAGCGATAGGACAAGAGGGAATGGCCTCAAGTTGTGCCAGGGAAGGTTTAGACTGGATATTAGGCAGCATTTCTTTCCAGAAGGGGTTGTTGGGCGTTGGAACGGGCTGCCCAGGGAGGTGGTGGAGTCCCCAACCCTGGAGGGGTTTAAGAGTTGGGTTGACCCAGCGCTGAGGGATCTGGTGGAGTTGGGAACTGTCAGTGTTGGGTTAATGGTTGGACTGGATGATCTTCAAGGTATTTTCCAACCTAGACAACTCTGTGATTCTGTAAAATTTACGATTTAAGAATTGAGTTAATTTTTTTTTATTATTTCAAGTACAAAGAATCCATAGACTGAAGACAATAACATGACCTCTTGCCTTTCATTTGAACTTTCAGGAAAAAAACAGCCTATACATAACCTGAAATTAAATTACAACACAGTATAACCATCTCCCAAAGACTTTCCACAATTCCCTTTAGAGCTCTAATGGTTAAGACTCTGCGTGCAAAACCCACCTTGTGCAGAATTCCTTTCCTCCAGTTGAAAATGAGGTAATTAGTGACTAGTTCTAATAGTTGCCTGAAGTTATCTTTCTAGTCATCTTACTATGCTTTATTTATGCTTTACTTGATTTTCATTTTAAGTTCCACACATATTTTAGCAGTAACAGAGCAGTGTTAAGGACAAAACTGAAGAATTAAATCTCTCTCCAGAACAGGCTTTCTTCCATTGTAATTCTTGTGGGGCAGCTGATTTCTAAAATCTGCCCAACTCCTTAAAAAGTTATTTACATATCTGACTTAGATGAGTATGATTGTACTTTTGATTTCTTACCTGTAGAAGAGAACATATGCTTCTGCATTTTGCACTGTGGATTCTGATACTTCTGTGACACTTTGGTCATCAAATTCATACCACAAATTATTTAAGTTGTTGCGACAATAAGCTATATAATGTCCACCTAGAGTGTTAGAAGTGAGAGTTATTAAAATGTGCCCAGAGCTGCCCATTTCACTCTGCAATACATGAAAAGGAAGTTAGTAGACACAACCTAACTTCTCACAAACTCAGGAGCATCTTTATCTTTTTTTTAAATTTTTTTTAGTTTCTACCAGCTAGTGGAAAGTTGGACACTGCTTTCAGCATATTCTTGAACTCTTCAAGCAGCTTGTTGTCTAAGGCACTTCTGAACCATAATATTAAAATGAGAGTAAGACTGAACAATTTACCCATAGCAGTTTCCACAATGAATGCTTCTCAAACCTCTGTAGGCTTTATAATAGAAATCAACATAGATGTGTAATGGCTACATGATATCAAGACCATACTTAACTGTGTTTTGAAGACTATTCATAATATATTTTAAATTATTACTATTTTTAAACATGTATTCAACTGCCAGTAATTAAATAATCAAACATCTACAAAACTGATTATGAGAAGCATCATTCAGCAAGCACTAAGTGGAAGGTGAAAAAGCATCCAGAAAAATTGGAAACAACTTTAAACAAATGGAGAATATGAACGGGTGGGTAACTTCTATAAAAATCTATACAGTTTCTGGCTTAAAACTTTTCTTTCTCCTATTTTGCAAATCTTATAAATACTGAAAGCACCTATGCAGAAACAAGCTTAACATACAGCAGTAAGATGTTTATTCAGCTACTCAACACTACCCATAAATAGCAGTTATGGCCTGTTTTGCGGTTAATTGCCAGCAATCATCCGAGAGAACATTTTTTTTTTTAAAATACTGACATTGTTGTGGTGCTTTGTGAACTCTGTCCAAAAAAGTAAGGCATACAATGCATCAAAACTCTAGAAACAGCAGCTCTGCAGAAGAGTCAATCAATGAGTCGTCGGCTGGCATGTAACAATATTTGTACATTTATACTGTTCACTTTCAATAGTGCATATGGTTTTTTTACTTAGTATTCCAGGATCTGTTAACTTTTTTCCACCTACAGTTTTATTTAGGTGTGCCATACAGTTTCCAAGATGTGCCACCTCTTTAACAGCAAGCCATCTTATGGTTCAAGGTAAAAATCACAACATTTATCTTTCACATTATAATTACCAATGCTCATCTATTTACCATTCAGTGTATGGGTAGTGCTGATGTGAGTATCAACTGCAAAGACAAAACAATTAATCTTATACTTACTGCTGGCAGTTCCATGATGGCAGATGACAGATAGAAGATCATAAGTCACTATTTGAGCTGGACTGTCCTTTGCCAGGAAAGGCTGAAGATCAAGGCCTTCCAAGGGAAAGGACACATGGGTCCCAATTTTTGTGGAAAACATAAGTTCATGTCTAAATCTTTTGAGATGTATGCACAGTATCTGTAAGAAGGATCGACAGATTCACTCAAGAACCATACGTGCTACTATTTGATATTTAATAACTACACTGGGCATATCATCTTTTCCTTTTTTTCATCCCAAAAGGATCACTTTTCTCTGTGGCCTGAGGCAACTATCACAACCTTTGTGTTCCACAGATTTATTTATTTTTAAATCAACTGCAGCTCAAGGAGTTAGAAATGAATTTGTAATTATTGAAAACTTCTTTTACTGACAGTATAAAAAACCCAGTCCTGAACAGTTACTGACACTGATGCAGCAATGAACAACATAAGTTTTCTCTTCCACAATGCATCTATTGCACAATCTTGTCACAAGGGACATTAATTCCTCCTGATTATTGGAGCCATCAACTCATATTTTGAACTGTAAGACTGGATTACTTTTAAAACTCCAAGTTACAGGCATGACTTACAGAAAAGATTTCCAGTCTGGCTGTGGTATTTAATTCTATGACATACAGTATAAGTAAGTTCTACAGGCTGACAGCTATACAGAAAAACTCCATTCTTCCACTTCACTTTTCATGTACAAGGTTCACTTTCTTAGAGGGTGAATAATCAAATGTTACTGACATTATTAAAACAAATGCCAATATGAAGATACTCTTTCATCATGTAACATAAACACAATTTACTCCATGCAACTCATTAGTCTTACCACATTCCTAATCATGCAGAAAAAGTGCTTTAAAGTGCATGTAGTAACAGTACCTCAGGAAATTTTTGCACTTTGCAGAATTTCACTCCATTTCTTAACCTAAGGAAAGAAAAAAAACAAACCAAAACATAACAACCAATACTTAGATCTGAAAAGGTTTTATTTTCTTGCACTATATCAGCAAAAGTCTAAGCTAAACATTAGTAAACCCCAAATATTTCTGGAATGTAGGCTAGACAGAGTAGCCAAAATGATATAAACAATGACACTTCAGAAGAAAAAAACCATGTGTGCTGGTGAAAAATTCAGAACAAGCAAGTGAATATAATCAAGGTCCATCTAGCTAACAGTTTCTCTTAGCAGAAAGAAAAGTACTTTGTTTCATGAAAGCTGATTATTCAGCAAAGAGAAAAAAGAAAACAATTAAGTTTATTTTTAAGAAACTAGCTACAGCAGATCACCAGTTATATAACAAGGAATAACACTCCCTTTCCATAAAGGTCTTTCAGCAGTCTTCAGATCACTTCTGTTTCTTGATTCTTTAGTATTTAAAGCCATAGTTTGTTTATTTTTACACAATGAAGTGACCTATTGCATATCAGTTGAAACCTGCAAGTAACATAGAGGGCTAAAAGCTCTTGTTTTATCCATAAAAAAAATTTAGAAAGTCTAAAATTGTAAGGAACATGAAAAAGAGTTAAGCACATTTGGTTTGCAATATGGTACGGTGAGTCAGTGCTTCCTGACTCCTGCACCTTTGTAATACTTAATTTTTGTCAGCCAGAACACAAGGTAGTATCAAAAGATTAATAGTACTGTGACATATTCAACAGAAATAAATGCCCTTTGAGTAACAGAAGCATTAAAGCACTCAAATTAGACAAATTAAAACAAAGGTAAAAGCCAGCTTACTTTTTACACCTTCCACAGCTATACATGTTATCACCTGCAAACATCAAGAAGAAAACCAGCCATTATTCTCTAAATCCAACTAGTTATCCTTCAAGCACATATTTGACAGATGAAAGATTCAAGGGAATACAGGTTTCATTCAATATTTAAGTCATAAGAGTGTTGATATAGCAACTAAACAGAAAGGTTCTTAGGTTTTATGCTTTCAACTATGAAGCAGTACAGCATAATCTGAGAGATGATGCTATGTAATTCAAAAGGGAAATAATTGACTAAATCTAAATTAAGGTTGTGAAAATGAGTATTAATATAGCAGGTTTTGAAATTTTTATGAACTTTCAGTTAATACCATTTCATTAAACCAGTCAGATTTACTTGACAGTTCTAAAGCTGCTTTCATGGTTATTTCTTGCTTCAAATATTCAGTTGAGAAGCTTACCTTTTTGAAATGAATGATCCCGTAAGAGCAAGGAGTGACTGTATTACAGTAAGAGGTGGCCTTTGCTTAATTGAGTGAAGCTAAGAAGATATTAATCATCTTATTGCGATAGGAGGAAAAAAAACCCAGAAGGGATGTTCATGTAATTAACCTCTTACCCTTGAGCTCATCTCTGGCGAAAAAGGCAGCAAGACAATCTTGTAAGGTTACAACTGGACCCCAAAACCAGCTAGGAACACATGAGACAACAAACCTGAAACATCATTGACAGAAAAGAAAGAAAACCAACAAATGTTCTGCCAGAGGAGCAGAAACTGTAATTTCAGGATAGATAAGTAAATAAAACAAGGTAAATATTAGTTACCTTTTGAAATATTCCATAAAAAAAGCTATCCATCCCTGGGGGGCATATGCTTCTCCACATGACCCTGCCTTGACTAGAGATGTCTGATGACTTGCAGAATGGAGTTTAGCAAGATCTTCCTTACCTGGAATAGGCAAGGACAGATCCTGAAAGGTCTCCAGGGTTACAGACAGCTAAAGAAGAAAACAAATGAAACAAAATAATAGTTAAGCTTTAAGAGAAACAGCAATTAAACTGAATTCTGTAAAGTTCACCCATAACTACTAACTCACTCTGTAGCTGAAAATTCTACTAGGTAGCAAAATAACTATGAATAAGGAAATGTAAGAATTAATTTTCTAAAAAAAAAGAGACAGAAAAAATTTAGAGAGAAGTTGCAGATTGTTATCATTAAAACTTCTGTTATTAACTAATTGTTGTCTTCCTACTAGTCATACAAAGCACTATGATTTTTGTCTCAGGCTCCTGTTATACAAACTAGTTTCAGAAAGCTTCAGCCCATTGTTTTGTCAGTATTTGACATTATCTTGACCTGATGTAACTGGAGCTGCCCAAAACACACCCAATCAGGCATTTTCTTTCTCCCATGCTGGATTCAGTGATCACAGCTGCAGAGTAAAACATCAAGCAAACTTTACAAATTCTTATTTGTTTTTTGAACTTCCTCACCAGATTACCCTGAGGTCTCTGTATTCTTACCTCTAAAACAAGAGAATTAGTAAGGGCATGTAATTGCATCAGAGTTAGGTTTAAACCTTACATAAAGGAACTTGTCCCCAGTGCAAAGATTCGGATATTTTGCTTTGATACTGAAGCTTTGAAACTGAAGTGGTCCGACTAGACATATTTAGATAATTGACTTTTTTTAAATGATTATGTGTGCTGTTCTAAGTAATTTTATGAGCAAATAGTAGAGAGAGAAAAAAAAAAATCAACTGTCCTATGTTGTATCACATCTTGCAGTAAAGGACAACTTAAGAAAGCAGGTAATGATTCATATCACCTGTAAAAGTAAGTGCCTTTATTTGAATTTTCTGAAAGACATGAGTTTTCTTATCCTTAATCTACCTAATAAGACTGTTATAGAAGTATGAGTAGACTACCATCTTTTACTTTTCTTTGTAACTGTGTACCTGAGAACTTACAATAGGAGGTATGCATTAGGATATTCAGAACATTACTAAAAACTAATCATATTTAAGTGAAGTTGAAGAACAAGCCTCTTTCTCCATCCTTGGTGTAAACCGATTCTCAAAATGTTATTTTTCAGCTCCGAGTAAATAATCCAGCTCAGTGAATGCAAGCTAGTCTAAACACAATGTGCTGGTAGTATCTGCTATTACTATTTAAGTAAACAAGTATGAAACAACCTGCCACCAAAGAATAAAGTTACCAGAGTATGACTGTATTCATAAAGCTGTTAGTATTTGTATTGTGGGTGAATGAAAAAAAAAAAAAAAGAACACCAAAGGAAAAAAAAAAATCAAAAGATAGAACTTCCCCTCCTTACTTACCCGATCACAAGTCAAGCACTGTACTGAGCTTATTATAGTCCCATCAAATATATCAGAGATAACACTCCTGTACTTCTTGCGCTTCTTCCTTTTTGGTGATGATACTGTTGAAACTATCAAGTGACAAAAATAAAATGGTGAAAGTAAATCCAAGATACAGTGGATTCCAATTCCCTTCAGCTTTGCATAATATAATTGGAGATCATACATACTTCGGATCAAATTATGAGCTAAGCCCTGTTTTCTATTTATTAAGTATTTATTAGAAATTACACAACCAGATCACTGCTAGTACCAGGCAATTCACATAGGTTCCTCAAGCAGTTTATGGTGGCCAAACACCAGAAACTTGCCTCTGTTTAAGTAAAACTCAAACTGCCAATCTTGGAATCTACAGGCTACTGCTACAAGAGTCATCTTGGCAGGAATCCCCAAAGGTATAAACTTAAATGCTAGATAGAAGGTGCCTTTTTAATTTGATTACATCTTTGCAGGAAGTTTTAACCATGTTGGGCTGAAGCACTCATATAAAAGAGCACTGATGACAGTTGGCTGAAGTAGACTAAACGTACTACTAGAGTCCGGGCTAGCAGCGGCTTCTTAAAAAAAATATGAAGTAAAGCCCCAAGCCAGTAACATGTGCTCCCCACCCAAACCCACTACTAATTGGGTAAACACACCAGAGCAGTCTCTCCAGCTCTGTAGATTACTGGAACGGTAGGCTAAAATGAAGACCAAAAAACCTCTTCTGGAGTCAGTATATCACCCAAAAGATGAGTCAAAAGTATTGTAGGAGTCAAAGGCAAACTCTGCCAAAATGCTGACAGCCGGTAACGAGATAGGCAGTGAAACATGGAAATAATTATAGTGAGAAGGAAACTGAATTACTCCAATAAATCTATCACACAGAACACAACCTCCTTTGAACACAGAGTTTGCCCATAAGCAGTACTCCTGTCTTTTTACCATCCAGTAGTATTATATTGTCTCTGTATCATCCCATACCTAGAGATGTCTAAAATAATAAAAAAAGTCTGAATTCCAAAGTATCTCTAGCAGAAAGAATGGCCACTAGAAGTAATCTGAAAACCCCTCTTTTTCGCAATGCATCAGATATATTTTATTTATCATGGATAAAAACTGCATCATAGAGCCTCTTGCCCAGAATTCTCTAAGGTTCCTTTCAATCACTTGTTTTGTCACTAAACAGCTTTAAAATGGTTCTGAAGTCTTTATTGATCAGTGATGTGGAGGATGTGCTGTATTTATCCACAGTAACAAACAGCAGGAAGAAATGGAAGATACTGACAAGCAGGGGCATCTTAAAGTTGCGGCACCCAACATACTCCATGTGGTTTCAACAAGGGGGAAATGAAAGTGAAGGCAATAGGTGTGTTGTAATTAGGTATTAGTTCCCAGACACAAGTCTTAGCACATTAGGGAATTCCCCTAGTATTACAGGGAATTAAAAAAACAACTTGAGAGCTTGCAAATGGCTGCCACACTATTCCCCTTGTCAGTTCTACTGCCTATCTATCTGTTTCCTCAATACACAATAAAGATGACCAAAGTTAAATTATTAAGAAGTGACAAAAATCAGTAATCTAGATAGGAAGAGACCTTTGGATATTATCTGGTACAGTCTGTTCAAAGCTGCACTAGTTGAACTTTGGAATATCCATCTCCAAGAATCTCAGGGTACCTCCGGGCTTCTATCCCTGTTCCAGTATTCAGCCATGCATTGGAAAGATTTTTTTTTCTTCCATTTAATAGAAATTTTCCTTTGTGCAAGTTGCTTCCATTTCTATTTGCTGCACAGCTTCAAGCAAAGCCTGTCTCTGCCTTCTCTATAACCACCCATAATATGCTGATGACAGCAACAGTTCTCTTCTAGTCTTTCATTCTCCAGACTGAACAAACCCAGCTCCCTCAGCTTCTCCTTGTACATGACAGGCTCCAGCCACCTAATACCACTTCTGACAGACTCGCTTCAGCTTGTCTAAAACCCTCCTGTAATCGTGAAGCCAAAACTGGAGACGGAGTACAGATGCAGTGTCAAAATTGCTGAACAAAATGAACCAAGGAGATTAGTGATTTAAGTCTATTAAATCATTGTCATTTGACATCAGTGCTAAAGCCTTAAAAGGGTAACATTAACGTTTTCAGAACTTATTCCGGACAGCCTGTTGAATAAAAGAGAGGATCACAATATTAAAGTTTTGGGAGTTTTTTGCTTTGGTATAATGCTAGCCTTAAACACATGTTCCACAAAACAAGCTTTTATTAAAATAGTCTACTGTTACAAAAATAAGGGAAAAAAATATTTATATATTGTTCCCTAAAGCTGCACTGACATCTAAAGTCAGTAAAAGTCTAAACACTCTGGATGCTGATAAACACATCATTCTGTGGAAAGCGCAAAAGAAACACTCTATCCTACAGACAGCACGTAACGTTTACAAGTCTATCTACAGCACAGGTACACATGGCTCCTTAAACCTTAACAGACTAAAATGTGGACTTACTGAACTTCTGCTGAAGATTCAATGTGCTTGTTCTCTGGAAAGCATTACCTTTCAGGGGGGCACTAAATTCTCACACATTTCCCCTCTCACCAAACCAGTGCAGTTGAGAAAGTTGCCTAAAAATGTTATTCCATCCTCCCAAAGCAGAGGCAAATCCTATTCATGTGTCAAAAGAAAGAATTTTACAGAAGGGAATCTTACCATATGTCCAGCTTACATAATGCTCACTGTCCCCACTAGGGATAGGGGATAAAAAAATCCCCAAACCTTAAGAACAACAATGCATTGCTGCACAAGACACAAGAAACATTATTAAAACTGTAATGCAGAGCAATTCAGTACCAGGAGGAAGAAAACAAAGGTCCTATACCTTTTTTGTGGACTGGTGCCATTGAAGAGCACGATGAGAATGATTTTGGAGGACTGTTTGATAAGCGTGTGTTCATCCCTTCATTTGATGATGGGGTTTGGGCTGCCGATATATCATTCATGTGGACATCATTGATGTACTCTGTAATTAATATCTCCGTTATTTCATAACTTCTACCAAAAAAAATTTACTGCCAAATGAACAGACACAATGTTTATGTCATTTATTTAACCACACCGTCAGGTCACTGAACTTCTAGGAATGAAGCACTATTTCAAATCCCATAGCTTTTAAGTTAAGAACAAAACCAAAAACAACCTCTCTTCTTGGGTTATTTGAAACCTTACCCACTACAAATCTTTAGCTTTTCAAACTAATTCAAACTGAATTGAGAACACCTAAACTGAGAAGGTGCATTGTTCATAAGTAAATCCATCTATGCTACTCAATCTGTATCTCTTTACTGTATTCTACAACTCATTTGAATTCACAAAGATATTCTGGTTAAGAATTAGACTATTTCAAATGCACATTAGTAATATATTACCTGAGAATCTGCTGTGTATCTGTACTTTGACAGTTCCTTGATTATTTAAAAAATCAGTAGTCTCTGAAGTAGTGTTTGTGTCTTTTTCCAAATCTTCCATAGAATTTGCTCGTTTAAGCTTGTTGTTTGATATTTTTTCTTTCTGCCAGTCTTTGGATGTGATTGAGTTGTTATCATCATCCTGAATTAACATGGTTGTCTCTGCAGGATCCTCTAAGACAGGTTTGAAAATAGCATCACTTTCTGTTTTATCACAGGTACCACAGGATTCACAGGGCTGAAAGCCTACATCTGACTGACTCTTGTCGTCTTCCATACTCTCTTCAACACTCATAGGCTGGGCATCTTCCAGTTCTACAACTGGTTCTTTAAGTTCTTCATGAAGCAAATCCATAAGACAACGCAAAAATTCTTGTGCATCCTAGAATTTTAAACAAGTTTTACAATATTATTCCATTCTATTTAGAAGACACTAAAATCATATCAGGAAAAGATACAGATAACTAAAGCAAAAGCTACAGCTGGCTGTTAAAGAAGAATAAGGTAAGCTCCTCCGTCCCAGGTCCAATGTTCAACAGAAATTTCATTTCCATACCACATATTTGTTTCCTGCATCCATTTCTTGCTTGTCACAAGTAATGTTATCATACAAGTTTCATCCAAAACACTTTGAATCTTAAAAAATTTATATCAACACCTTGAACAAAAACACTGCCATAGCTTACACAAATGATAAAAGTAGCTCAGGCAACTACCAACAGTATGGTCAGACTCCAGCTTTGCTGGTAATGGAATGTTTTAGGGATGGTTTTTTTTTTAAAAAAAACCTTATGCAGCATCTTCCACAAAGCAACCAGAGCCTTGCTTTCACTGGGTATGGAAGTACTTTATTAAAAAATATTATGGTGTACTTAGCCCATCTTTCCAATTGCATCATACTCTCAACAAGATTTTAATCGTTCTTCTCAAGCCCAGACAAGATTCCTCAAATATCAGTGTTCCCACAAAGAGCTGTCAAGTATTACTACAAGTCTAATCCATGTTTGGATGTATCTTAAAAGCTACTAAATTTCAACGATCCACACAGTAGCTTTAGAGAGTTAGAGAATATATAATAAAGCAAGCATGAGAGAAAACAATAGCCTCTTCTTGGCAACTACTACTGTTTCTATTTTCTTCTATTTTTCTTTTTGTATTTTGGTTGCTCATAATAGTCATTTTTGCTGCTCAACATTCCCATCCATCATAGCAATTACTTATTAAGCTCACAACTGCTGACTAGAAAACACTTTCTTAAAACCTACAACTATCACATTTGAGGTTTGGGTAATGAAAAAAATCTTAATATGCCTACTTGTTGGTATTCCTTTTACAAAAAAAAAAGATGCAAACCTGGAGACACAGATTAACTCATAAATATTCTTCACTGAGCAAAAGAATTCCTTTTTCTCCCTGAAGATTGAACATGGCTGCCCAACTTGTGAGACTGGGCAATAGGAGAGTGTTGGTTATGAAAGACCTGCTTTGTTTTAATTGTTGCCATGAAAACTACTAAACATACAACTGAAGTGTGATCCAGGAAGAACCTAAAAAGGTTTTCATTAAGTGTTGCTCTGCATGGAAAAAGATATTCTCATCAGTGTTCAAAGCTGTGAGAAGCAAGTTTCCATACAGTTTCTTTTTGGTTATCAAGACTGATTTTCTGCTTTTCCAGAAATTCATGTGGCTCTTCAGAAATTCATGAGTAAATTAAAAAACACTGAGATTAATATTTAAACATTTACTTTACAGCTCATACAGCATTTGAACATTAAATCATGTGTTCTAATCCTCCACACCACAAATATGAAAGATGTTAACTGAAGCAGCAGAATTCCTTTGAATAACACCAGATTCCTGGAAGATATTAGTAAGCTTTTTGAATTACAGGGTTTAGATTTTTTCTCCAGCCCATAAGCTTTTAATAAATTACTGCAAACTGTAGAATGCAGCAAGATTCTGTATGAAGGATCAACTGAAGAATGCCTTTACTATATAATAATCCATGCTTATTTAACAAATTACCAACTTACAGTTCTCACAACATCACTTATGAAACACATGGCAGTGGGGTTCTTTTTCAAAGACACCAAATGAAAATTGGATACTGCATATTTAATTTTTTTTAAAACTTAACTGGTGGACGAATATTAAAAAAAAAAAATGTATTACATTCCTTTTTATCTTTGAACATCTTCATTTTGTTTTCTGGGACTGCTCAAATATTAGCAACCTTATTTGACAGAAAAGTTCTAGATACGTATTATTTTAATTTTCCTGAAAAAAAGGTAAAAGGAGTTAGTCTCAGAAGTTGAAGGCCTTTCAAATATTTGATACAAACAAACATAAAACCTGATTTAACTGTTAATGGCTCCATTTCAGATGATCTACATTTGAACCATATAAACTAATGTTTATATTGCATTTGCTTTAAACAAATATAGGAAGCATGGTATCTTAAGCATTAGATTTAAAAATTAGATGACTTTATGGCTTAGGCAGATTTAAAAGACATCAGAAGGTTTTACCTGTTGAGAGTAGCCTCGAAATGTTGGATTAACAGTTTTAATTCCTTGAAATAAACCCGTAGGAACAACAGAACCAGGCCTAAAGAAAAAAGTTTTAAACATATAACTACACATAAAAAAGTAAGCAGTTAAGTGGAGTTTTCTATCTTTACTAGGATTATAATTTTACCTGCAACTGAACTTTAACACATATAACACCAATAATATTAATCTTAACCAAACATAATATTGCTATTGAACTATTAGCTATATCTTTTTTTTTAAAGAGCTGTTATCCAACAGAAACAGAGACTGTATCAGGCTTTTTATGCCACATTTCTCGTCAGAGAATCAGACATACTCTTGGTACTGTGCACAATTACAGTTTCTTTACCTTTGTACTTATATTTTGAAGTATTTTCTTAGACAGAGGTAACAGAAATTCCATATAAGGAAGTAAGAGAAACTGACAAAAAACTGATACAGACTGAAGGACACAGAGAGAATAAAGTAGTTAAATATTTTAGATTTATTTCTGGCAGATAGAAACTTATTTTAAAAAGCTTAATGCTACTTTGTGTAATGTTTATCATGTATTTCTTGTCAGATCTTCCTTACTACAATTTACATCAATTATTTTTCCTATCTTTGGTAGATAGGGAAAAAGAACAGCTTATAAGGAGTGTTTAAATACTGTACATTAGACTTTTCTTCCTTATTTTTAAAAGTAATTCTGTGATACACACAAAATAAAAATTAGAAACCTAGGACAGATTAATGCATTCCTTCATGCCTCTGGAGTTTATTTATGATCATTTTATCACCAAAATTATGCAATACCTGCTCTTGTGCCAGAGTTCTGTCATCAGCTTGAGGTAACTTTTACAAATTGCCGGTTTCTTATCTGTTCGTGCTAAGCCTCCACAGTCAAGAAAAAAGTGCGTCAAAGGTGGGCTGATTAAAAGAAAATTGTATTTTTTCAGATTGTTAAAATACAAGAGGAAACCCGGTTTCATACAAGATTATTTTAAAAAATAGCATTTCTATTATGAGATTGAACAATTCCATTTCCTACATCCTTAAGTGATGCAATCAAACATTTCCTAATAGGACAACTTCAGCAGTACAGCAACACTGCTCCTCAAACATATCCTGACATTTGTTAAAGCACCACCATTGTCTGATGGGATTAAAATTTAAGGCAACTGCTACAAGCCATCACAGAAGTACTCATGTACCCCTACAGCAACAATCACCAGAAGCCTAGTCCTTAAGTAGCATCTTAGGTCTTCTTTTCTCAAGAATCCAATAGTGCCACATGATGTTTATTGATAAATAATTTATACTTGTATGATTATCTGTTTACTTCATGCAGTGTTGTCAACTCATGCTCTTTCACTTCTCTTCCTTCAACCTCCCTTTGAAGACACAATCCCTCATACGGATTGGACCTATTTTCACCCAAGAAAGCAGATATCCCAGCATATGTGCAAAATTTGGCATTTCTCAACAGAATCATTTCCTCATGATTAGATGCTTTGTCCACTTCCTTACCTTCCAGAGAGATTTGCCTCAGTTCTCCTCTCCCTCAACAAAGGATCTCAGTGAGTTCTATTCAGCCCTGTATCCTGTCTTGGGTTGCAGCCAAAAGCAGATGTATACAGCAAACATATACAATACATGCTCAAGTATTGTCCCCACCTAACAATTTCTAGTGCAAGAAACTTTAGAACTGGATAGTGGTTTTCTCTCTTCAACTTCAGTAGGTTTCTCCTTCATGAAGCTGTCTGGTATCCCCATGTGAAAATAAGATTTTCTATTCTATCCATTCCTAGGATGATTTAGCATAGAACATCCCAGATGCATTGTTTGTAAGGACTGAATTTGGATCTTTTGATTTTAACATGTCTCTTTTTTTAATTAGAGCTTATTTTTTTTCGTTTCCTTTGATTTCTTCTGTAGCAGAGAAAAAAGCAACCCACAAATTTAACAGTTTTATCAGATTTTTCTTCTAATTCCTAGAACTGCCTATATTTTTATTTAGGACAGTGAGGAATCGGAATGAAATAGGGAAAAACCTGAGTAGCCCGTATACCATAATACTTTTTTTTTTTCCTATCAGTGACACAATTGTAGTACATAAGACAGATTTAACAAATACATGTCTTCTTCCATGGTAGCGCAGCCCTACAAAATCCTCAAGTCCATCTTGAGAAAATACATGTATAAGCAAATAAAAAATTATATTTACAATCATTTTCCTTACCAGTTGGAAAGAGCTTGTAAAGCTGCATTCATGTAACAAGTGTTTCCAATATTTTTTAATCCTGTTAGACCTGAAAAACAGAATTAATACTCTGTTATGCCAATAGTCTATTAATCCAATACAAGACATATTAAGGAAAATACTTTGTAGAAAATATGTATTAATTAAAATACTTATGTAACACTTCTGATGCCATTTATAATGCAGAGTTGTAACTAAAAGAAACATAGGATTCCTAAAGGAATACTAATCCAACTAGAAGTGGTAATTAAATGTTTTGATTTTGGCTGACTAAAACACTTGAGATAAGTAGACTGTATTTTATCTTACTAACTTTTGATGTTTTATGACAGCTGCAGATTTTAATTTTAAAAATTATTATCAATATTTAAGTTTTACTTGAGCTTCAAGATTTACCTGTTCAGTTAAACTGTTGCTACGCTGCGTTCGCAACCATTAATATTACCAAAAGATTCTCAAGGAAGATTTTATTCTTCTGTCTCAAGTTCATGCTAGTAGTCAGATTATGGTGAACATTCGAAAACTACTCAGCATGTGATTATCCCAGAATCAGAATTATGATTACCTACGATCAGTCTATGTCAATTATATGCCCTTATTTTTATGGAAAGACCACGCAGTTTAGACTTCCCCACAGAATTCATTTTGAAGCCCAGATTGTTTACTAGCTTTGTAGATATCCACATATAGTTTTTCCACATGCATAAAAGTTACAATTAACATATATTCTTTCAGTAATTATGGAGTTATGAAAAACAGTCTCTAAATATTTGAGGAGAGGCTATTTAAACAAGTAGTAATTATCATAGCATACCAATTAAAAAAAGAGAAATATTTGTTATTCTTAGCTAAAGTGTTAAATTAATGAATTAATTTCAATATAAAATTGCTTTTGTATGAGAAAGCCAGTAACATTTATAAGCAAACAATCAAGAAGACCAGAAAATTTTAAATACTCATAAATCAACACCATTAGCTCTATGCAATCCTTGAAGTATAAGAACTACACTGATCATTTTAGTCTGTAGCAGAAAAATAAAAATTCTTAAGAACATCCTTTTACGTCTAAAGAAGTTTGTTTACTTCAGTTGAATTTTCTAATACACAGAACTTTATTTTTAACAGGTTCTTCTATCTCTCTGAATGGAAATACAGTCCTGCTTCCCACATCTGAACCTTCACTTCTGCCATTCCAATTTCTGCTACAGAAAAGGACAATCATTCTTACTGAAATTGGAATGTAAATTGGAATGTAAGAACAGTCATAGATTTTTTTAAATATTTCTTTTATTTTAACAGCAGAAAATATAACAGGAAGATACTCTCACTGCACTTTTTCAGCCTGCAGTGTTGCAAATGAAGTTTTTGAATAGACTTCTTTTCTTGCAAAGATATGTTTAATAATGTTTACTTCATCAAAAGCATTTCAAAAGAAATTTTAAGAACAAAGTTAAAAGGGAGCTAAAGAAGTTTTTCCTTTAACTTCGAGAAGCGTATTAACACAGTCACAACAATATTACTGGAAACTTTAATGCAATTCTATTTGTATATTGCTTCTATCCAAGTTACATTCACAAATATATTAATAGGACAAGATGATATACAAATGCACACATTGGTAGGAGAAACTAACTGGGAATAAAACACATGGTTTAATGATTTAAGGGCAGATGGAAAATTAGTGGGGTGGTGACATATCCAGAAAGACCATGCCAGACAACAGAAGGGGCAAAGTAGGTTTTTTGGCCAATGTCAGCAGACTTAGGAGAGGGAAAGCTGGTAGTAGATAATTAAAGGAGAAACAGGAGATCCATAAATTAGAACAACTCTTTTATAATCACTGATGGAAAACTAACTGCCTTGGCACATGCACTGGCATCTCAAAAACAATAGGTTATCAATCTGCTAGTCAGGTTTTTCTAAGAAAATGGTAGTTAGAAATATTTTCTTTACTAACAAATACACATATCCTTTTTAAAATGACCAATACTAGTTTGAGACTTTTAAGAAATAATAGTCGTTATGTTCTCTCATGAAATGAAAAATTAAGGCTTTGCTGTTTGTGGTTTCATACATTCTCATTTTCATCTTCACAATAGTTTAATACTAGGGTAGGGTAAGATTTTATACCAGAAAGTTTGGCAATGCATGAAATCCATTACTGAAAAGAAGAAAACAAAAAACTAAAACCCCATACTACAGGCTCAAAAAAGGGTTACCCAAAATGCAGGAAAGCATTCCAGTCAGGAACCTTTTAGGACAGAAGTAAACACTGGAACAGATTTTAGAAAAAAACTGCTTTTACCAGAATGGCTATAACACCAGCTAGACTAAACAGTACTCCAGTGCACTTCCTTATTTCTGTTGCTGCTTGCATGGGTGCAGTACATTTATCACCACAGCCTCTGCTCTAAAAGGAAATAAAGGTTGCTTCAATAACGGTGGAATTAAAAATAAAGGTCTTAGTGGGAGCAGAATAGGAAACAGTTCCACTTAGTAGAGATCTACTATATAGCTGGAGAACAGACTTGGAGACATACACATGCGATAAAGGGCAATATTGCTTTTATTACCTCTAGTCTTTAACTCATCTTCTTCCACTTCTATATCTAAGTCATCAAATACAGCTGCTAGAGGAATCTTCAGCGTGGGATTACTAGGTATTTTAAAATCCTTTTAAGAATAAAAAGAAAAACAATATTTACTTGTATTTATCAAGTTTCCTCTAATTAAAACTTATGTATAATTTCTCCAACAAATCTAGGAACTGAAGATTATATGAACACATTCTGAAATCTCACTGGACAGAAAGTAAGGATAATAGGATTCCACAGCTACCCTGATGAAGTTTACTGAGAAAAACCCCATGTTTTTGCCTTCAGATTAGCAGTGAAAACAGTGCATTATTTTATGACAACAGCTGAAGCATCAAAAAAGGCAAGTTATAGTATTTATTTCCCTTGGATAACAAACACTAAGCCATCACTGAAAAGTTAACACAGTAGTCAACACATAAAAGTTAGTGTACATGTTTTTGATATGCCACCAGATGGCTCACTACATTTAACAAAGACAAATTAAACTGCTGGAAGCAAAATGTACAGAGAAACAAAGTATTAGCAGGCAGACATTTATTGTATGACAAGCTCTTTTTGTGAGTGCATAAATAAAAATTCTAACCAAAATGTTTGACAGACTTTACAAATTCTACTGATTTTTCTGTATATTATACCCATTTTCTTGGAAGATTAAAACAGGTTAAAAGTATAATAAAACAGAAGTTCAGAAGTCTGAACCCAGCTTTGTATCAAGTCACAAGAATTTCTGAACAACAGAAATGTTATTTAAAAAAATATTCCAAGGGTACTATTCCAACTGAGCTGCTGGCATTTTATGAGAAAATTATCAGATTACATTCATATTAAATATTAAACTTTTATGTGAACATACTAAAGGATATTTCCTCTCTGATGTACATTGAAAAACTGACCATCTTTCTGCCCAACCTGTGCATTATGCTATTTCTTCCATAGCTCTATGCCTCAAGCAAAGCAATTTTAGAAATACTGTACTTGTACTTGTGTCAGTTTTACCTGAGTTACTTGTCATTTTTATATAAGTACATTAAATATACAATAAATAACACTTTTTCAGATACATGCATGATGTCAATTATACTTAAGAAATTAACTTTCTCCAAGACAACACTTATCTAGAAAAGAGATTATCAGAGTGAATAGTACTGATGCCGGTAAAGACTAATATAACCAGAGGATAACAAAACAACAATCCAAACCTAAACAAACCTTGTTGAAATTGAAGGACAAGAACATAGCATATTTCAAAATTCCTTGTATAACATCTGCTTTGCTCATTTTTTCCTCTAGCTTGTCTCCAATATGAGCTAATGCTTAATTCATTATCTTACTCTTCAGCTACTATGTTAATTATTAATAAATGTGGAGTTAAGAAGCTAAGCACTTTTATGAAGTCTTGTCGTTGACATCATAGTTATACAAAACACTACAATCTTAAGCCTGTGTTTTACTCGACCAATATGAGCCTTCCAGATACTGGCCATATTTTCACTCCTTGGCATATTTATACTCCTTGGCAATGCTAACTGCATAGAACACTAATAGCATTCTCCTGATTTGTAGTTTCATACACATTTTTCCAGATGCATCTAACACAGTATGTTTGTCATTCTACACCAAAATTACACACATATATAGAATATACATAGGTTACTACTGCCTTCTTAGCAAATTCTTCTGTAGTAGTTAAATTCTTAACTATCCAGAAGTGTTTGTGTGTATACCACTCCACTGAAAAGATTTTCCTACACACATATACATACACAAATGCCATGCTTTTCAGGCATTTATTAATACTTAAAACCACACATGTTTAAACCTCAGAAACTAAGTTACAGAATCCCTTTAAGTGTCTTATATTACTAGCTCAATGAGGTTAACAATTAGCATGTATTTCTCTAAAAGTACTGTGCTTGCATGAAAAAATCTCGGGCAAGTATCCATAAACATATGCTAAGGCATTCTGCACCTACCTGAAAGTTAGCCAGCAATTACTGTAATGAGCTTTGTAAATAACATTTTCAAGAGGTGACAGAATGGGGAAGCACAGGTGAACTATTCCAATCTTGCAACCTCAAATTTAACCCTGTGCTTTTTTACCTTACAGTTTATTGTAGATTACAAACAAGACAAGATGAAAAGAGCACTCTTCAGAAGCATGCAGTACACAGAGAGAACACAGAAGCTGGGCACTGTCTTTTTAAAGAAATTTTATAAAGCTAGAAATTAATAGAAAGTTCAGCCACAAGAAAGAAGGAAAAGTCAGTCTCTCACTTGAGAGAAGACACAATGTTTACTCCAAAGCTACAGCTGCATTTGTTTCATTAGGTTAAAAAATACCTGAACACTATTATCTTGTGCTTGGTGAGACAGTCTTGCATTTGGTAGTGGAGAATGAGATCTTAATTTTCTATCCAGGAACACTTCCTTACTACAGGCATAACACCAAACACGGAGTGTAGTAAGGTTGACAGTTAGACAGTGTTTTGTCTCCTAAAACAGAACAAAAAACAAAACTGCAATTCAGAAATTTCGGAATAATTAAATACGGTTAAATGCAAGCTAGAACAGAAGTATTGAAATTTTAGCTCTTTCAAGAATGAAACAAATATGTATGTTAGAATATTACAAAACAGCAATTCAATCACTGAAATTTTAGCACAAACTATCCAACACTCATTTTTAGTACAAGTCACTCAAATTAGCAACAAGGTACAATAAGAACTTAAGCCACTGCCGTATCTGATATGCCTCTGTGTAATTACAAAGATAAGAAAGCCCATCATCAGGTGTGTTACAATTCACAACAAAACAATTTTCCAGGAATGTCTGCTATAGCTCATAATGGCAGCTGCCTCCTCTTACAGTAAGGCCAGTGTCTATTTCTACTGTTTTACTGTAGGAAATTCAAGCTATTTAACAATCAGACAGAAGAGTAAGATAAGATTTTTAGTTCAGTTAAGAGTTAGACGTGCTCAGATCAAAACAAACATTACAGACTCAATTAGTTCTTTTGTTTACAGCTTCATAACATATAGCAATATAAAAATTTGACAGATGGAGAATATTTTTACTGTTCTAATCTTCACTGTTCTTTTTTAAGCCTCTTTTCTTACTGTAAGATTGTGTACACAGTTGCTATCACCCTCTAAATATTTCCATCAATCTTTCTTGTATTTCTTCCTGATATGTCAGCACCAGTCAGGTTTATAGACAATGAGGGATTTGCTACAAATTAGGAAAAAAATACAACTGCTGCAGGAGGCCTGAATTCCTCTTCCCTTCATTTACTAAGGCCTTGTACGTTTTTTAATATAAACCGTAGCTTACCATTTCATTAAGCCCCCCCCTACTAAAAAACAGATGATGTAAGCATCTCAGACAATTTTAATCATGAGCATATACTTGTTTCTGCAGTTTGAGCTGCATAAATAATTACAAGTCTCCAGAGCAACAGCTTATTAATTTTCTTGAAGTGGACACAATGAACATCATTATTTGCAGTACAGGGAGCCTTGTGGGTAGAAACTGGAGTGAGCAGAAATAAACTGATTCATGTCAACTTTGCTTCTCTCATTTTAGTGAGTTTGAGATTTCACTGAAAAAAACCCAAACGCAGAAGAGGGCTTACTATCCAGAAATCAAAATTATGTAACAAGAGAATCAAGACAAGGATGTCACTGACAGCAAGCAAACTACCTATTCCCTTTCTTTTACCTGCCAAGTACGTAACATGGCTAAAAGAGCATGTAAAGCAAGAATAAACTACCACAGAAAGCCAAGAGGTATAAAATTGTAGACAACAAATTCAGGGACCATCTGTTCCCCAGTTGCACTACAAGCCGCCCATTCGTGTACCTATTGTAAAGGCTTTAGAACTGTGATTCAGCTTAAAGAGCCAGCAACCCCCCCCCAGTATTTATATAATTTATATTAAAGCACTATTGATTTGTAGAAATATGAACTCTTCAAGGCTCTGCTTCGAGAAAAAAACAAAAAAAAAATTAGGAGTGGTGGTGCTTCTTGTAAAACCCTGGTATATACTATTATTTTAATATTCACCAGGGGGTTTTTTAGTATTTTTAGAGACCAAAAATTGCTCAGCGGGAAGCCTTAGGTGTATTTTCTGGCAGATGAACTGTAAATTGGTACCAAGAAGGTCATTTAACCATGAAGTCAGCAATTCTGAAATGATATGTTAATAAAACTGCCATCCCTCTGTCCTCCATATATTTGGTAAGAGAGAATGATGTATCTCATTTCCTTCATTTTGGCAATCATTCCACTTGCACATGTGTGTGCACAGACAGTGAGTTCAAGACCCAAACAAATGCACTCAAGCTGTCCAACCTTGCAAAAAACTTAGCCTGCTGGAGAACACAGTGCACACACTCCACTGCTCCCACCAAGCTGGATCCAAAATCAGGACATCACAGGAAAGGATATGCTCAGGTCAGTCTACAGGTTTTTCATCTGTAGCCACTGAACAGGGAGCATAATGCAGAAACAAAGCACCTGTTTCTGGTTATTGATACTTCCCATCTTACACCTGTTCAGCTCTTATCTTCATTAATCCAACTTCCCTCCTATTATCCACCAAGCAGCCACAGTCCTAAATTAAACTGAAGTAGTGAAGCACTACGTATCAGCTGAAGTACTCAAGAAATCTTTTGTCCATGCATCTCGAAAACCATCATACCCATTGTTCTTTTTTTAATTCTCACCATGTTCTTTTAAGGAGCACAATAATGTCAGATTACAGAAGTAATTATGCAGCTGCATAAAGACTGTAAACTCACATACTCCTAACTTAGTGAGACTTGCTTCTGTAGATGAAAAACAACCATAGTTAATCAAATTTCCAAACAGTTATGCTAACACAGTTTACTGACGTTTAGACTAGATATTAGGAAGCCTTTTTTTTACATAACGGGTTGTTAGGCATTGGAATGGGCTGCTCAGGGAGGTGGTGGAGTCCCCATCCCTGGAAGTGTTTAGGAGTAGAGCTGACATAGTGCTTAGGGATATGGTGTAGTTGGGAACTGTCAGTGTTGTGTTAATGGTTGCACTGGATGATCTTCAAGGTCTTTTCCAATCTAGATGATTCTGTGATTCGGTGACTTCACTTAAATCAGTAAAAAATGTTCTCTAACTCTACTTCACTGCTTCAAGTAACTGTATTACTAGCAAATACACATACCTGGGAATGGGTGGTACTGTGATCAACATGGGATTCACCACAGCCAACATATGTACATCTGTTCTGTTGAGCAAGATATGAAGAACAGAATGATACAGAATTAAAAAGTAGTGTCAAACAGGTTTACAGAATAAGAATATACTGCAAATCCCTTTAAAATTCAAATTTCAAACTTGCAGAGTCCTTCACAAAACAAGAGACATGCATGGTAAGTGTTAAAAATAAATATCACCTAAAGCAAATAAGAATGCTGCAAGATTTAACTCAACTCCTCTCACTGGTGGGCAGTGTTAAGACTTTTTATGCGCAGAATATAATTTTTTGGCGATTTTGATATAATTGCTCAAATTAAAGTCAACATGTATTTTTTATAATTCATGATTTGGTAGAAGTTAGCCCAGTGTCTAAATACTGAATTGTAACAACCTCAGATCATGACACATTTTGACAAAAATGCCTGTATACCCTTATCTGCAGCGCCTATTTATCAAAGTATTACTTCACAAGAGCTTCCAGCACTCTATGGTTAAGTACTTACTCCATTATAGTTATAACATGCAAAATAATTTGGATTTTAGTTGTGCTAATTGCAAAACATATTTGGCTAAGTTGAGTGTGGAATCTTGCAGCTGCCAATCTTCAAGCAATTTTCATTAATTCCTCATTTGCATGAGTCAAGACAATCACAGAAAAGGGTACAGCATGTTATCTGTATAACTCTCTAAGCAAGTTAATTTATACAATCAAATAGCAGCTGAACACAGTCAATTTTCTATATTAAATAATCACAGATATTTGTTAAGTTACAGGTAGTTAACATGCTGGGATCTCACCATGTTTTTCTACTGAAAAAGGTGAAGGCAAGATGCCAATTCATCCAAGAGGAGATACATCACAGCATGATGCTAAGTGTCCTACTGCAATTACAATACTCGCCTATGGAAATGTTGGTATGACATTGAGTTTTTCAGTAACAGTTTAAGAGCTTCAAGTGAGAAATAAAAACCATGGTTTAGGCTTCACAGCATTTCCCCACCTGCCAGACTGGTGCATCCCTGAACACCTCTTCCTACACCCAAGAGGGTTTTTATATATAATTAAACTCCAAGCCATCTAACAAAAAGACATTCAAGAATGTCTCTTTCCCCCTTCATTTCTATCTCGTATTGATAGAAGGAGCAAAATAATCCGATCGCTTAACTGTTACCGTAATTCACTTAAAAGAAAACTACTGAAGTAGATTTTTAAAAATACTCATACATACACCTAAAAGTTGGTATCTCAGCCTAGATAACTTCCTGACAGGACTTAGACAAAATTTGCCAAGAAATTAATTCAAGCCTATAGAGTAACATTTCAATCTCTGGAAACAGCTGTATGTCTGAAGAACTCCCAACATGTTTTAAAAACTGAATTAGCTACATACTTTCCTGTTGGTATCACAGATCAATGAGAAACAACATTTTCAGAGTCTTTTTTTTCTTAAAAATACGCTGAAAATTACATTTTTTGTAGACAGCGAGAAGAGTAAAGCAAAAGCATATTTAAGGAAGAACTATAACCAAGGTAAAGAATGTACAAAAGTTGTACAAAGTTTGAAGAATGTTTATACAAGCTTTTACAAGTTTCAAAATAAGGATTCTTCTTTGTTTTGCTTAAGAATAAAAAAGTCAGAGTATTCATTTTTATGCTGTAAAAAGTCATCATCTACTGCTAGATGTTATTAGTACAAATGCTGAGAGGGGCTTATAAAAAGTAATTTAATTCAGGAATAATATTATTTTGCATATCTACAGACCCAGGAACAGAGTTTTAAAAAATCTTGAGCTAAAAGATATCATAACTCAAGAAGAAACCTCAATATGCCAGCTTCTTATTAAAAAAAAAAAAAAATCTCATTTTAAACACATTATTCCTAAATTACAAGAAATATGTACCTGATAAACGGTAAATAATTTTAAAAATAGAAAAACTGCACATGAGGTTTTTCTTTTAAATAACAACTTGAGGAAACTAATTTAAAGAGCTTCATTCTAGTTGTTTCAGAAAAAAAAATACTGCCAACTTTATCTACAAATTACTAGAAAAGGCCCCTGCTATGGAACAACAGAACAACTTACCTCTAAGCATGCCCAAAGGTTGGGTCCTCTGACTTTACAGTCCTGACAAGTGCCCTATTAAACACACAAGCAAAGTATTATTTCATTTACTTTCACCGGTAAACCACAAATTTGAGACAAACCGGGAAAAAATACTGTAAATCTCAGTATCAACTGAATAGTTTTAAGACAAAAAAAAAGTATGCATTGATAACCAACCCACTTTTAATCAGAATATTTTTCTTAGTAAAACCCTGAATCTCTCTCCAAGTTTTTTCTTAAACCAAAAATTGTTCTACTAAATAAAACATAAACATGTATGATATCACATTATTATAAAAATCCTCAAAATTGGACTTTCTTTTTATGTTAAATTTATAGGAAATTAAAGTGACAGAACTTGTAATAACTACAAATTCCTATTTGTGAACAGGCAACACTACCTGCAAAGGTTTACAAAAAAGATGTAACATCAGAGAAACGTTCAGCAGCAAATTAACAGTTACAGTTTTCAGATAAAGAAATTTAGCACCATGGACAGAAGAGGGTTGGCTTTTCATCACCTTCCAGCTACTAAAATGGGTTACAACATCTTTCTTTGTTCTATATATTAATGGTAGCTGGAAACCAAGAGTTCAGGTAGGGGCAGTTTCTCAAACAGTGGCTCCTCCATCAAAAAGTGAACTGTTATGCAAGAAAAACTTAAGGATAAATTTCTTTGTTAGTTTCTACTTGAAGTCAGTTATACTATATTACATTAACATTCCAAATAACTGCTACAATGGCAGTGTCTGAAAAGTTCAAGCTTGGTGTTATGTGAACTCTTTAACTAATATTTCCATCAAAACATCACTTGCTTTGGAAAACACTGCTGGGAAAGGCACACTAAGTGTTAAGTACTGAAAAATAGTTTTTCAGTTTTATCAAGTCCGCAATTCTTCCCATACCTTGTTTAAACCTTACTATTCCACTACTGAAGATTTTACCCAGGCTTAACACTGTAGCTAAAATAAGTGACCAGAGTTAACTGTGATAGGAAGAAAGTAAGCTGCAGCAACTTACATGAGATTTCTGTATCAATTCCTCTTTTGTTATTTCACCAACTGATTCCAAGTGTGGGCAATTGCTGCTGGGCGATGACATTGCAGAAGCTGTATTTTCTGAGATCCTGCAGCCAGGATCTTCAAGACCAGTGAATCACTTGTCAACAGAAGAAAGAATGAGTAAAATCCAATTCCTTACAGCTGGCAGCAATATTAGATATCTAATATACAACATATATATAACTTTTAAAAGAATGTGCCTTTTAAAAGTAAGTTAGTATAAATAACTTAGTTAACAGTAAAGAGAATCCAGTAGTCCAAATTAAACACAGCTGACTTCTAAAAAGAAATCTTCTGACTTTTAGGGCATAAACTAACAAAATGCTAAGTGGAGCAAAGATGGTTTGGATTAACTATTTTCCTGGCCTCTACCATGGCACCCCAATGACCTGAGAATTACAATTTTCAAGCCTACACAGAACTGATGGTGTGTCTGACTGTATATTCTGAAAAGGGATTTTATGCACCACTGCTGAAGCATGCTGAAGCTGTGAAGGATAAAATGGAGCACACAATTTGTTTGTCAAAGGAGAAGGAAACTTTATCTTGGTTTTATTTATTTACAAAGACACTTTCTAGATTGAGGAATATTATATATCAACAGCAAACTGAAACTTGTAACTCACATGTAGGACTGAACACTCAGCAAGCTTTTCTCTTGTTTGAGTTCACTCTGTCCATCCAAGGTCTCTGATGCAGACACAGAAACTTAACAGAAATAAAGAATGCTAAATAGAGTCACTTTGGCATTGTTATTTTGATGGTTGCACAGAAAGCTATGATGTTCTACAGAAGGAAAATAAACAAAATGAACTCAATAACATTCTTTTTATACAATCCTCCAACTGACTCATGCAGATAAGAACCAAGAACTTTGCTACTCTGCTACGGTTTTGTCACTTAAGACAATTACTATTGATGCCTCGATCTCTCCAAAGACCAAGAAATTTTAAGCTTTCTTTGCCCAACCATTATCTGTCCAATCTAGCATTCCCTTATCAAGGCTTGCGACTAAGCTTCCATCCTAACTCAGTGACGCACACTCCTTGATCTGTTTGCAGCCTTTAGCACTGTTGTCAACATCTCTTTCCGCTTTGCCTGTTGGCTTTGGCAGCTTTAGGTTTGTTTCTTCCACCATATGACCTATCACTCCTTTGAGTATTAAGTAACACAGGGCTTTGACAGCATGGGGGAAAACAAGCCTTGCCTAGTAGGCATCTCAGACACAACTCCTAGTAAACTTCCAGTTTGTTACCTTTGACTTAGTCTTTACTTCCACTGCTTTGCAATAAGATCCCTTTGAATGAAGAGTCATTTCAGTTCCCTTTGGTTATCAAAAGGGTTTTATACGTGTGTGTGCGTGCATGTGTATAAACAGTCTATATTATTCCTATAAACATTCCTATACAAATAATGTTATTGAAGTATTAGTTGTATAGGAATACGACTTTATATAATTTGTAACATACATGCATGTATATACCTGCACATACATACTTAGATGTACTTTATATATAAACAATTATTTATAAATAATACACAAGATATTTTTATATACATAACATGCATGCATATACTTATGTGCATCTATCAGTCTTTTTGAATGTCATGTTAACAGCTGTTGAATAAAATATTTAAGACGTTATCTCACAAGACTGGAAATACTACAGTGAATTAATAATTCAGGATTTTTTTTCAAGATGAGGTGTAAATTCTCTTCCTACATCAATGGCATGACATTTAAAAAGCATTACTCTCAAATATAAGCTGCATCTGGAGAAGGATGTCCTCAGTTCAGTGTCTATTTGTCATTATTGAAAGACACTTCAAATACAGAAATGATTCTTCTTCAGGCCAAACCTCAATTTCAGTCATGTGAGCAATTCTGCTTTGAACTGTAAAGTTGCTTTTCAGAACAGAAATGGAAACGTGAATGTATGTTTTATCTTGCACATTTTGCAAGGTCTGTTAAAGCATTAAAAAGTCAAGTGAGTTTCAAATAAAGCCTGAACAACCTTAAAAAAAAATTCAGTGTGATTAATGCTGATTTAACACAAATGCTTTAGAAAGACAGGTATAATGGATTAGTAAAGCTTTAGGCTTATTTTTTTCTTATTGAAGCAGCTTTCTGAATGCATTATTCCAAGTAATACAAAGCAATGAATGGAGACTTCACCTCACCCTACCAGATTTCTATTTAATAGCTACTTTTCACACCTGGAACTGCGCAAATCCAAACCTGCAGTCCTGAACAAACCCAACCTGGTAGTTCTGCTCATGTCAGATTCTGTTTCTTGGTGCAATCTGCATCTTCTCATAACAACCATCAAAAAGACCAAAGCATGTTGAAACTTGTGTACCTATGGATGTGATTCCTATTCCTGTCCGAATGGAATGCATCCATTGTAGAAGTCTAGGTAATGTTAAGAAATTATTATGTTATTATATGGGCAAAGCCAAATGGCCTTTCACCTTTTGTTAACAAAATTCTTATACACCTCCTTCCATTCTGTAGCAACCATGATAACTCACGGCACTACCATAACCTTGGTAGCTTAATATACTTAGCTGCAGTAACACATTTTGTAAAATTTTATGTTAAAGTCTAAAACTGTAAAATTAATTTCAAAACCATGATTCATCCTTCATCTAAGTCCTAGCAAGCCCAGGCTAGTCCCTCCTTCACTCACTGCCCTTCCTCTATGTCACCGCTTCCTACTCTATCTGGAAAGATTGCTTATCTTTCTCTACTGACATATCTGCTGTTTCACAAGCTTCTTCATTGTGTTGACCTCATCCAAAAGCCAAATCTTCACATTTTCAGTAATTACACACACCCCACCCCCCTTTTGTAGCTTCACTTACATTCTATTGTATACTTCTGTTCCAAAGCTGGAGTATCTCTCTAGTTAATGCCCCCGGTGATATGTGATAGTTTGTACTCGGAAAGTACCTAAATAACCTCATCCGAACAGCTCACAGGAACCAAAAGTTTATATATTAGATAAACACCAAAAGGCTCTGGAAAGGATCTGGATCTGTATCAGCCTTCCTCATGTTGCAGAACTCTAAAAAAATTATTACTGAGACAAGAATTCTTAGACAGCAATCGTGTCCAGTGGCAACAAGACTAATTTTGTCACCTTTATGGACCCTTCAGAAGTATTCTGTGGTCTCACGGGAACCTTAGAAAAATCACAAGCTGAAAACCATGGACCTCCATATACAGAATACAAGAAGTATCTCTGTTTCACTATGAGGTTAAAAATGAAGTAAAACTTAATCAGGAGTACAACTCAAGTTTTCATACTATTTGTTCCTGATCATATTGATGCAATAAGATTCTAATCAAATGCTCCCTATATATTTGGGAGAGAATATTGTAGTTTACTGTTAGCTGTTTCCATTGTTTCTACTAAAAGGTTTGTTTCAGCCCACCTATCTCAATGCATCATACTACATCATTCAACTAAGTGAACCATGTATTGTTCAAAAGAATTTAATACATTTTTGCTTAGTTCATGCATAGTGTGTCATACTTCAAAGAAAAAAAAGAAGCCCATAACACTTATCTTGAACTCGCAGTCTTTTTTTCTGTTCCTGTTTATTCTTTGTATTCACTAAAAAAACCCCATGTGAGCCATCAGAGAAATGTGAACCATAATTTAAAGTATCATGACTAGCAACCTATTTATTATTCAGCACAATTCCTTGGCATCACAGTCTTGTGATGCCTACTATGGAAGATCTATCTACACACACAGAAAAATCCTAAACGCTAAGAGAATTCCAACTGATCCTGAAAATTATCTTAAGCTCACGCAGGGAGCATAATATTTCCTAAAGAAATATCATAGATTTTACATTCACTCAAAAAGGTTTTGAATTAATGTTTTAATCTGCCTAGTTATAGTAGTTAAGACTTCAACAGGTGTTGAAGTAAACAAATACACATCTTCCACTGATGTCCTGAAATATGAAGCCATGTTATCAGATCATTTTACAGGGTTCTGTAAGAGAATAATGGTAGAAGATTTTAAGAATAAAAGGATTATTCTGAAGACAGCAATTACCTAAACCAGTAATTGTATCTTCATTACTGGCTTTTATTATTGTGCCTGTATAACTTCTGAGTAACAGCATATCAAATCAGTAAGGTCTAAGTTCAAGATTCTTACTTGCACTCACAGTTATTTCACTAGTGATGCACTGGACCAATAGCATTTAACATTTGTTTTCATTTTATGGCAACAAAGTAAGGGTGACACAGGGGTGCAATTTTGTATCTGAACATTTAATTACTTAGAATACTAAAGATCTCTGGAGCTTCCATAATTACTTGCCATATAGATATTTTTCACGCTTCAAAAAAAATCCACCAACACTTGCTCCAAACTATACATGCCCTTGAGATATGTATTTAGATTTTTAAGATGTATAATTTTTAATCAATTTTCTAAAGAAATGTGTTGCTCTTTTAAAACTTTACTGGATCCTTTTGAGAATTTATTACAGAAATTACTTTAGCATAACAATGCATGTGAATAACATTGTTAGTAAATTTGAGAATAGTCTTCTTAGGTTAAGAAATAAGTAAAATTAATCTTAACTTCATACCCTAAATTCCTTTATATTCTGTTAATCAGTAGGTGGTTTTGATCTTCATCTCCCACCCCTCCCTTTTTCTAATCTATCAACTCTAAACAAGAGTATCCCATTTTCTTGAAAAAAATGACACCACTAGTTCTAACTCTGGTAGAAAACTTACTTTATCTACTTAGGATAAAACCTGGTATTTTCCCAGTAAATGACAAAAGGCGGCTCCGTAAGCTGACGAAAGGTATCTGGTCCTTCTCTTCAGGCACCAAGAGCTATCCACTCAAGAAAGGCATAATTTTTTTAAGCCACTTTCATTAGACTTTTTTCTGTCATGAAGCATTGTTTCCAAAGAGAAAGGACATTAAAAAAAAAGCCTGAGTTGAGGGAATATCCTCTTACAGGGTTAAACATTTTTCATTTTACAATTGCCTTTTAGGGTACATAGACTGTCCATTCATTTCTTTCTTCCACCACTTTAAATCCTGAAACTCTGAAACCCATCAGCTGACATTTATGCTTCTAAGAGGATTTTCCTAACTCTGGCTTTGCCTGCGCACAGAAGCCGACAGTGATTTTCCACTGGGTGCTACACCAGCCTTTTTCCTCCAGCTTATTTCATCCCTCGTACAGGGTGATCTAAGCGTGTGAATACCTCAGGGAACGAACAGCCTAACTGACAGGCATTATTTTTTGGAATTGTATCCTATCTACGGCACCGTCGCCGCATGGCTTCAACTTCGGCAGGTATTTGCGGAGATCGACTCAACGCTCCTCGGCCGCTCCCGGCGGGCAGGCCGGCAGGCAAGCAGGCAGGCCGGCGCGCCTACCCCGCCT